CTTTGAGTGGAGTGTCCAGAAAAGCGCTATATAAGTGTAAGCAATTATTAATTATAAAGCAGTTTACAGCTAATGGGGATCCCCTCCACCACCAGTGTGCAGCCCCACCTGGATGATGCGACAGCAGCTAGAGTGCACCAGTACACTGGCCACACACCAGCTCTCAGTGGGGAGGAGAGCAGAGTGATGGGGATTATTAGGAGGCCATGATTCGTAAGGGCCAGGGTAACACCCCTACTCTTGTCGAGAAACGCCCTGGGATTTTTTAATGACCACAGAGAGTCAGGACCTCGGTTTCACATCTTATCTGAAGGGCGACACCTTTTTTCACTATACTGGGGCAACAGGACCCACACAGGCCACAGGGTGAGCGCCCCCTAATGGTCTCACTCACACCTCTCCCAGCAGCAACCTTAGTTTTTCCCAGGAGGTCTCCCATCCAGGTACCGACCAGGCTCACACACCTGCTGAGCTTCAGTAGGCTGCCAGCTGTGATTTGCAGCGCAGGGTGATACAGCTGCTGGCATAACTGGCCATGAGCACTAACAGAAGAAAGCCAGAAGACTCTGCGATTCCCCAGAACAGGGAGAAGGGCTGTGGTGCTGGTTGAAAACTGCTGAAATGAAATTGCAGTTCAAGCAGTTTTTTAGGAAAAAAAAGGCTTCCGTGCTTTTAAGAAGTATCAAATCATTCTTGAACACTTTCCTACTGCTCCAAGATACAAATGTGGACATTGACTGCAGCCTAACAGGTCACAGCTCTACCCAGACCTACAGTACAGTGCCTTATCCACGCCCCCGGGCAGACAAAAGCCTACTTTCCCCATCTCTGCCTTCAGTAGCAGCTGATTGCTGCAGGGGAAGAGCCCAGCCCAGGCCCGCCAGCCCCACTGCCTCAGGCCCTGCTGTAACCCAGCCCGATACACAATCCTCGCTCACGCCAGCCCCGAGCTCTGGCTGCCTGAACCAGGCGGCTGTCGCTGGGTAACTCAATCCGCACCTTTAATAAATGATGGCTCTGTTGGAGCCCACTCTTCCGCGGGGGAGGGCGCGGAGGAGCAGGAAGGCCAGGAAGAGGCAGACGCTCGCCGGTGACTCCCTGCGCCCCGCCACCCGGCTCCCAGAACTCCAACCATGAATCCCGAGTAGTAAGTACCGGCCGGGGGGGGAAGAGGGCGGAGTCGGTCGCTCCCTGGACACCAGGGTGGAAGTGAGGACAGAGGGAGATGGTCTCGCCATCTTGAAGGAATGCGTTCCAGGACCTGGGTTCGAGCTCACTCTAACAGGGCGGCTGCAGAAAGCGACAGACCGTGCACGACGACGGGTTCCCTTGCCTCCGAGCAGCAGGAACACCCAGCCGGTGAAGCCTGAAGCACAGGGAGCGGTGATCATCCGAGAGCGATCGATACCGCTCCAGGGAAGTGGGGGGGGGCTGGAGTCACGGACAGCGTCTCCCAGAGAGCGCCTCTCAGGTCACGTTCCACTGCATTTCGCACACAAGGGCTGAACAGACCCTGGTAACAGAACAAGGTCCTGTGAGCTCATGAACCTAACCTGCCCCATCAGGGCAAACTGGCAGCGGTGAGGAGCTGCAGTCCAGAGCTTCAGACACCTACCTGGAAGGCTGTGGGTTCAGATCCTGGCTGGATCTGTACACTGCTGTTGTACCCCTGAGCAAGGCACCTTGCACAGACTGTTCCAGGACAAAAGCCCAGCTGTATACAAAGGCACCAACAAAAGCACTGGCCACAACCAATGCCACGTTTTCCTACTTGCGTGGAATTCCTTCCCATCAGGTATTTCGGTGAAGTAAATCAGGATTTCTGCATGAGATGTGGAGTTTTGCAGCTATGCACTAAAATACTGCATCACCCTGCAACTGTGTATATTGTCAATATCTGCAGTGCTCTTGTCTGCAATGCCAGGGCTATGCCGAGCCTCTGTCTGCAGGCCTCGGTGCTAACACACCACCTGTCTTCCCCAGTGACTACCTGTTCAAGCTTCTGCTGATCGGAGACTCTGGCGTGGGCAAGTCCTGCCTGCTGCTCCGCTTTGCTGTAAGTCTTTATTTCAAAGCATGGGAAAGGTTAGAAATGAAAGGAGGCCTTTGAGCCCATCAGGCTTGATGCTTGTAGCTAAATGATAAAAGGACCTCGTCCAGCCTTTTCTTGAGAGAAGCCGGTGTACCAGCTATGACAACAGCTTGCTACAGGCTCCCACAACCCTTTGTGTACAGAAGTGCCTCCTGTTCTCTGTGACATCAGTCATCGAGAGGGGAGTAAGAACTTACCCCAGGAGTGAAATGTCCCACTTGCTGAACTTTGCTCGACCTCTCTCTACATCCCCCCCGAACACTGGGCAATAGCTGTGCAACAGTAAACAAATGATGCTGCACTGAATAAGACATTCCAGGCATCACTGGTTTAAAAGCTCCTGCTCCAGAGAGCAACAATAGTTTGCTGTCGTGATACTGCCCAGTAGGACAGGACAGCTTTTAACCCTGACTTTCCTCTTTGCTCCTCTTCCAGGATGACACCTACACCGAGAGCTACATCAGCACCATCGGGGTGGACTTTAAAATCAGGACCATCGAGCTCGAGGGGAAAACTGTCAAGCTTCAGATAGTAAGTGTGCCTTCGCTTCCAAACGCACATCATCATCCTCCACATCGTCTTGGACAGAAAAGACACGGAGGTGTTTCACATGACGTGCCCCAGCCTGCAACACCACTGTCCACAAAAACACACACCTGCTGGCTTGCGTTCTGTGCTTGTTTGGGGATATCCGCTCACCGTAAATGGAGGTGGTGTTTATACAGGAGCACACTCTCCTGTAAGAGTGCAGAGTGGGAAGTGACACAATCCTGTCCCCAGAGGTGCTCACTGTAAGACAGCAGGATGCCACAAGGCGTGCAGGACAAGGACTGAGGAGAGGCAGCGTCCTAGTGTCCCCAGGGCAGCGGTTGGCAATGCTGTAGGCTGCCACACACAGTGCAGCACACTTCCCCTCCACCCACACTCGTCCTCCTTTACAGCTCCTTCTGGCTTTCCTCAGCTGCGCCCCCTGACGATTCTTCTCGGGAGGGGGGGACAAAAACACCGGAGAATCTCGGACTCCTTACCGATCGCGCAAGCCGGTCCCGTGCCGGGAGACCCTCTCACTTGCCGTTGTGCCTCTGCTTCCAGTGGGACACCGCAGGCCAGGAGAGGTTCCGCACCATCACCTCCAGCTACTACCGGGGCGCCCACGGGATCATCGTGGTGTACGACGTCACCGACCAGGCACGCCGCCCTCGCCTGTTCGCCTCGGGAATCGTTTCGGGGAGCAGAAAAGGCCTCCTGCACAGGGCCAGAGGGAGGGAGGGGGTGAAGGCAGGCCTTCTGAAGAAAGCAAGAGCAAAAGAGGGGGAGTTCAGGGCCGGCCTTCTTTTACAGTCTATGTCTTTATACGATGTTTGGGGCGAGACCCCCTGGACCTTGGAGGAGGAGGATGGAGGGGACATCATGCATGCCAGCACCTATATCACCCTGCAGCTCCCAGCTGAAAGCCCACTGGGGCTCAGCAGGTGTGAGTCTGGTCAGTACCTGGATAGGAGCCTCCTGGGAAAGCTGAGGTTGCTGCTGGAAGAGGGGCCAGAAGGGGGCGCTCACCCTGCGGTCTGTGTGGGTCCTTATGCTCCAGTATAGTGACAGGAACACTATACTGTACAAAGGTGACGTACTTCACACGAGATATAAAACCCAAATCCCGACTCTCACTGATCATTAAAAATCCCAGGGTGTTTCTCGAAAAGAGTAGGGGTGTAACCCCGGCATCCTGGCCAAATTTCCCATTGGCCCTTCCAATCATGGCCTCCTAATAACCCCCCTCTCTGAACTGGCTCCATCACTCTGCTCTCCTCCCCACTGAGAGCTGATGGGTGAGGAGCGGACTGGCGCATCATCCAGGTGGGGCTGCACACTAGGGTTGGTGGAGGGGATCCCCAGTGCCTGTAAAGTGCTTTGAGTGAAGGCTATAGAAGTGTAAGGAATTATTATTTTGTCCCCAATATCACACCCCCTTCCGGCCACCCCTTCTATCAGATGCCAGCATGGCGGATCTCTGAAGGGCAGCGTCTCCCTGCCCCAGTGTCTAGTGGGCAGGAAGTGTCCGGTGGTCAGGTACTGTCCGGTCCAGCTGAGCACCTGGTTGCTGCTCTCGTTTTGCAGGAGTCTTTCAGTAACGTGAAGCAGTGGCTGGACGAGATCGACCGCTACGCCAGCGAGGGCGTGTCCAAGGTGCTGGTGGGAAATAAGTGCGACCTGGGAGCCAGGAAGGTGGTGGACTTCACCACCGGACAGGTACGCGGTAACGCGCTGCGCACCAGCTCCTGGCACGGAGAGCTGCACACACCTCCTCCACTTACACCCCCCTTTTACTGAACTCAAAACACTGCCCCTGCTGAAGTTTGCAAACAGCCGCTATCTAAATGCTGGTTAAAATGATTGCTGCTACCCTGTTCCCGTCTCCAAGAACTGTCATTGTCATTGTCATTTGTCATGTGAGGAAAACACACCAAGTAAGCATTTCATTGTACTCAGGCACATATGCAATAAACCTGAACTTAAACTGAAACCTGCCAGCTCTTCAAGGGCAAACCAAACAAACCAGACAGCTGGAAAAAATTCCTTTAGAAAATTCCATTCACGCCCCTCAAGAGGCAGAGGTCTGGCGATGCGCTTGTGACCAGATGAGGCCACACTCTCGTCTCGTTCCCAGGAGTTCGCCCAGTCCCTCCGCATCCATTTCCTGGAGACGAGCGCCAAAGACGCCACCAACGTGGAGCAGGCCTTTGTCACCATGGCGATGGAGACCAAGAAGCGGATGGATATGGACGGGATGCAAAGCGAGGCGGAGAAGGCGGGCTCCCTGCTTGACAGTGCCCCCCTGTGGCCAGGAGGGGACCAGCAAGGAGGAGAGGAGAGCAGCTCCTGCTGTTAACAGCTGTTAACCGTAAGGCCTCACTACACAAGGCGAGGTATTGCTTAAGAGCAGACACTTCCAGTTTCACTGACCAGCCTTGGTCTTTATCCACGGGCCTTTCGATACCATGTGTGGCAATGTGCTTGAATTTATTCTCAATTCCTCAAATTCATTCCCCTTTCAGACACTTTCATGGAGAGTGAAAGTACTGCACCCCTCTTAAAAATGTCCAGCTATCAAGGTCATGATGCTGTTTTACACACAAAAGTATCTGCCCCTGTCTGTCGGACAGTGCTCATTGGTTGGGACTACGTTTAATAGTCATGTTCAATAGGATAGATAAGAAAGCCCAATAACTATAATAAAATGCCTGCAATTTGTTTGCATTTAAAATTCCAATTCCATTCTAAATCTCCATGCTCAAGACTCTGCATGGCTTGGCACCTCAGTACCTGTGTGAGCTACTATCGCCCTACTCCCCACCTCGCAACCTTCGCTCTTCTAACTCTGGTCTCCTATCTGTCCCCCAAGCCTGTCTACACTGTATGGGTGACAGGGCCTTCTCCTGTAATGCCCCAGAGCTTTGAACTCTCTCCCCAGGGATATCAGAGAGTCACCTTCTCTAAACTCTAAAGTCCAGACTTAAAACCTTCTTCTTCAGAAGGGCCTTTACTGAACTGGTTCTGTTCTTTACCCCTCTGCTCCTGCTGTATTCAGTACGGAACCCCTATCTACTGATTCCTCTCATTGTGGATTTTCCTTGTGTACTGTAGGTTATGCGTGTTCTGTAAAGAGCTTTGAGAAACCACCTTTAAAGGCATTCTATAAAATAACAAGTAATAGGTTTATTCCATGCTGAAAACAGAAGAAAGAAAACATGTTTCAGCCGTGGAGCCTTCTTCAGGTGTGAGAAAGACAGGGCAGTAAGCAAAGGTAATGTAGCAGGAGAACAAGAGCTGGGAGAGAGGAGGGGCGGGAGGTGAAGAGAGGTGTGGAATGAAACCTACAAAGGAACTTGCCCATCTGAACGACATAAAATAACGTTTATTATTATTGATAAAGTGTCCCTGAAAAAAAACACCAAAGGCTTTTGTGTCTTTTTTGTGAAACATATAACTATACTGGGCCGTACAGTCCCAGTCCTGAAGGGCCCCAGCATCTGCAGGTTTGCTCCTAACCACCTGATTTAGATGATCAGTGTTAGTTTAACGGGAGCTGGATTCTGATCCTCAAGGACTGGAGTTGTGCATTTGTGAAATAACCAAGTGCTGCTGAACTTACAGCTCTTCCAATTCGCTGCAGAATGTTACTCCAGTCAGCACCTTCTTATACGGAGCTCTTCTAATACTGACCTGTTGACCAGTTACAGACGTGGCTGGATCAAAAGTCTATCATGGGTAAGACTGGAAAACCCGCAGACGTAGCAATCAGAGAAGGTGCCACAAAAAAAATCGTTTTGTACTTTAAATGACTGGCTGCAAAATTACAATAACATAAACCTTTCATCCTTTTTGAGAGCTTACATGAGCGCTTACGAAATAAATATCAGCCTCTGTGAATGTATCTTTCAGTCTCTACACTAAAGAAAACTGGGGGCAGTCTCAGTCCGGCTCTGAAGGACCTCTGTCCAGCAGGTTTTACACATCAGCAGCTCAAGAGCCCAAACAAGCTGTTGAAATGCTCCAATTAAATTAATAATCAGGTGGATTGGGTCACTAAGGGTCACACCCTGACACAGGCCCTTCAGGACCTCTCAGTGGGCTGTCCCACAGAATACAAATCAGACTCCTGACAACAGAAAGCTCTTCTCTCACAGGAGCCTCTGATCACTCGTGCAGTTCGACACTGAACTCTTTTACTCTATTCTGAACAAACCTGAGATAACAGCAAAACAGGAACAAAGGGACAAACTCACAGCTTTTACACCCCTGCAGGGTCTTAACCGTAGCCTGGTCTCACTTTGACTGGCAAGCAATTCCTGAGCCGCAGTGGAGGCTGCGAACAGCAAATGAAACAGAACATCATTCCTTAAAACACAACAGAAGATGCACATCTAACAGAGGGAGCATCACACAGAACAGCTGAACTCGATGGCTTATTGTTCTACTGGTTCTTCGTGCTGAACTCAAAAGCAGACCCTGCACAGGGGCGGGCCTGATGTCGAACAAAACCCACCAGCCAAGCCAGAACACGCAGGCTCCTGGCTTCGAGCTTCACCAGGTTAAAGAAAAAAAAAAATTAAGAGTCCCTCAGGCAGCAGTGGAACGATCTCATGGATTTTCTCCCAGTTTTCCTGCTGCCTCAGTGGCGGAAATTGTCCACAATCTGCTTGGAGTTCCAGAGCCCTGCGCTGCTGGCCAGGAACTGCTGCCTGATCGCCGCCTTCACCTCCTGGTACGTCGTGGCTCTCACCTGAAACAGCACCACACCTGGTGAGGGGCAGCGCTCCCCAGATACAGCACCTGCCCTTGGTAAAGCATTTTCCAGCTGCTGAATACCAACAACGGCCCTCCAGGGTGAAAAGACACTTGCATATTGAAAACATTCAAAGCAATCGGAACTGTAGCACCGATGAGCACCGTGGGACAGACACAGTCCAGTATCCCCTCAGATCCTCCGCACTCATGCTAGAAATGCCAGTCTGCTTGCAGGAGCGATATGTGTGTCTGTATCAGCGCCAGTGCCTGTGTAAGCATATGTGTGAGTGTCTGGACCAACGCATGCACGTCTATCTGTACCAGTGTACATCAATCTCTACACAGCTTGTGCTGTGTATGTGTGTCATAGTCTATACCAGTGTGTGCTGTGTACCTGGACTAGTGTGTGTGTGTATGTGTGTGATTGTCTGTACCAGTGTGTGAGTGGCTGTGCTCTTGCTGCGGTGTGCTTCCTTGAGCACGCGGGGAGCGGACTCGCACCTTGGCCTGCAGGTAGGTGGGCAGCTCCAGCAGCTCCTGGGCGCCCCGCAGCCTGGCGATCTCCCGGAAGGCGCTGAGGAAGGCGGCCTTGCACAGCCGGCTGCTCTGCGCAGGTCCGCTCGAGAAGGGGGAGCTGCCAAACCAAGCCCAGGGACAGGATCAGTGTCCACAGCACCCCGTGCCTCGTCTTACTCCCTCTCCTCCCCCTTACCAAAGAGCAGAGCTGGGAGCACTGGCTCTCTCGTGCTAGCAAGGCTGGCCGCCAGGACAATGCGTGAAAGCAGACTGCTCCTGACCCAGCCTGTGACTCGCGAGGGAGCAGTGCCCGTTCCCTGCCTCCACTAAAGTGCTACAAAGATGCAGGATTCACCGAGGATGTGACCCCTGGGAGGGGACGCATGGGGACAGTGAAATCCTTAACGGTCCTGTTGATCACTGCTCTAGAGGCTCCCGCAGTGTAGCAGTGTGTGTTTGTGTGACTGTCTGTACCAGTGTGTGCTGCGTATCCGGACTAGTGTGCGCGCATCTGTCTGTAGCAGTGTTTATTTGTGCAATTGTCTGTTCCAGATAATTGTATGCTGGTGTGTGCCGTGTATGTGGACTAGTGTGTTCGTCAGCAGCAGTGTGTATTTGTGCTGGTGTGTGCTGTGTATGTGGACTAGTGTGTCCGTC